CGGGCCCTGGGAGCGGCCGTGGAGGCCGTGCTGGCGGCGCTCGGCACCCCGGCCCGCGGGCCAAGTCCCGACGCGCCTCCAGCTGCCACCGCCTCCGCAGGTGTCTTCTCGGCCAAGGTTCTGGGGTTCCGTGTGTGCGGTCTCTACCGCGAGTGGGTGACTCGCACTGAGGGCGACCTGGGCCAGCTGATGCCCGAGGGCCCAGCCTGAACTAAGTTAGATGCGGAGCGCAGTTCACACTGCTGCCTCCGAATGTCTTTATTTCATCTGGCTGTCTTCATTTCTCTGTGTGTGTGTGTGTGTGTGTGTCTAATTGATTTGTATGGTCTTGCTCTCCTCTTTTTCTCTATGGGCTTCCTTGTCTCTGTTTTTCTGGTTTTTCGCCTCTGTTTTTCTCCATCTTGAGCCTCAGTCTCTCTTGGTAGCCTTTACCCTCTCAGGGCATCTCTTGTCTCCCTCTGGCTTATATATATATGTCTATATATCTCAGACTCATCTCAAGTAAGTGACAAATTACAGATGACTTTCACCTATATGTTTCATTTGTTTTCTTTCTCCCTCTGCCTTCTCCTGGTCAGGAAAGTGCCTCCTGGCCCTGTGGTGGGAGGACTATTCCAGACAAATTTTAAACATCTTCCCCCAAGGCTACTTTGCTGCTGCCCCCATACACTGCTATCCCATCCCTATGGGTCTGCCCGCCTCTCCTTTTGATACTGGGTCTCTCCGTCACCACCCTCTGCCCTGTCCCTGTCCCTCCATCTCCATTCCCCCTCCCCCCCCAGATATAGAGCAAAGCCACACCTACACACCTAAAAAAAAGAGTTTTATTTCTGAGAATAAATTAATTTTTATAAATGTTTCATATTAAAAAGAAAACTAAAGTTACCTGTGTATACAATTGCTAACAATGGGAAGAGAACTTTGAGGAAAATAGGATTCTTAGGGTACAACCTAGTCCCCAGGACACAGGACATAGTATAAATAGGAATTGCATGAAAGCCCCAGGACCATGGACATATATCAGTGCAGAATAGAACGTGGATGTGCTCCTGAGCAGAAAACAGACACAAAATGAAGTCCTTAGGGCTTCAAGAATTGGTCAGGATATTAAGCCCCTGAGACAGGAAGTTGGAACAATGTCACAGGCAAAGAGGTAAACTAGGGGAGAAAATAATCTTCTCCAAAAAGAGAGGCCTCCCTGCTCAGAAAGACTATGTCTTCATACAGTATGTGAGGTAGATGGAGACAGGAAGGCAGCTGCTAGAAATGAAAGGTCTCAGGAAGGAAACCCACTGCCCTTTCCCTGTAGAGCGGGAAGCAAGGCCTCTTCAGAAAGGCACTTCTTCCACCCAGGAAGGTTGCAATCAGTACCACTGGATTTGTAGTCCAAGAAACGGTAGCTTTGGCGAGGCACCAGATTTGGAAGGTCAGCCATAAGACCTGGGTAGGAAGACCTAGACAACAGGAAATAGAGACCTGGTTTACAAGAAATATTCCCAAAGACATGGGACATAAATCCTGTCTGCTACACAAGATGCACCTCCTCTAATCAGGAAGCAAGGGAGACTTCATTCATTATGAATGGTGGAATGTTGCATCCTCTGACAGGAAGTCCCACCTTGTCTATATTGGGTATTTAGCCTTGAGCAGAGCCAAGTCCCTCACAGCTCTGTCTGTCCAGTGGCCATATTCCCGGGTCACTATATAGCCCCGACATTTCCTCTCAAAGGCCGAGGCCTCAAATGGGACAAGCCCAAGAGTGTCCTCTTCTGGGGGAATGGGCAGTCCCAAGGCAGTCATGATGGCAGCCATGTTGCCCAGAAGTCCCTGGGACCTGAGTCTTGCACCCCCAAGCTGGGCCAACAGGATGGGACTGTCAGGATTCAAGTCGATCTGGTCGTCTCCAACAAGCTGAAGGTGCTGGGTCAAGGCCAGGAAGGCCTCCTGGGCACGACCCAGCCGTTCCCCATCTTCCAGAGCATGCCAGGTCTTGAAGGAGACAGCCGCAGGAGGCAGACTGCTAAGCTGGAGCTCAGGAGCTGAGAAGCCTGGGTCACTGAAGGGACTGCCCTGGTACTCGAGCTGTATGAGGAACAGAAAGCAGGAATGAGGCAGGTAGGCGGGGCTCCAATCTCACCTCTTCCATGTACTATCTGGGTAACCTTGAATCACAAGCTTCTTAATAATCCCCATTTTATCGTAAGGATAAAATGCAACAATTAAGCACCCAACTGCTAACTGAAAGGTTGACAGTTCGAACACACCCAGCACATCTCTGCTGGAGAAAGAACTCGTGATCTGCTCCCATAAAGATTACAAGCCAGAAAACCCTATGGGCACTTCTAGTCTTTCACATGGGGTTGCTAATAATCTAACTTGACTCAACAGCACCTAACATTATTAATTGTGAACATGATAAGGAATTATATATAAGGGGCTTTTAAAGTTCATGGAAAAATAGAATTGAACAATAAAGGAATTTTTCCAGTTTTTTTGAAGCCATCTAGTATATATATGGACTCCTGGTATGGCATTGTGGGTTAATGCGCTGGACTGCAAGGTCAGCGGTTCAAACTCACCAGTCCCTCCTCCAAAACTCTATACAGAGTTGCTATCAGTCAGAATTGATTCGACAGTAATAAACAACAACAGTATATATATGAAATCCTGGTGTGGCACTGTGGGTTCAAACCAACCTTGCACACTAGACCACAAGGTTGGTGGTTCAAACTTACCAGCTGCTCCCTGGACACCAGCTGCTCCCTATATAGGATTGCTATGAGTCGGAACTGACTCCATGGTACTTAAAAACAACAACAAATATATATATATGGAGGCTTCAAAAAGTTCATGGAAAAATTCCATCTTTTTGAACCCCCATCATATATGTGTGTGCCCATCATAAAATATAAATGGCTTAGCACAGCATCTGGCTTACAATAAGGGCCATCATTATTTATTATTAATATAGATCTATTAATATTGAATTGAAGGAGTTCTGATGTGGCACTGTAGAATAAACACTGGACTGTTAACCCCAAGGTCAGCAGTTCAAATTCACCAGCCGCTTCTTGGGAGAAAGATGAGGCTACTTGGCTCCCATAAAGATTTATAGCCTTGGAAACCCTATATAGGGTCACTATGAGTCAGAGCTGATTTGACAGCCCCCCTAACAACAGCAACAATATAAACAGACACTGGTTACATTATTTATGATCTTTTCAATACACATACATTACTGACAATATAGTTGTTATTGTAGCTAAGTGCCGCTGGTTCTGACTCATAGCTTCTCTATAAAGGGTTTCCAAAGAGCAGCTGGTTTTGAACTGCCGACCTTGCTGTTAGCAGCCTAGTGCTTCTCCGACAGTACCACAGCACTATTATTTCTTTTTTATTTACAGAACTTGTTTACGTTTGTTCATTGTATTACCCAAAGCCAAAAAAAGAAACCCAGTGCTGTCAAATTGATGCCAACTCCTAAAGACTCTGTAAGCCAGGCTAGCACTGCCCCAGAGAGATTCTTCCTTTCTTTTTTTAAAAATAAATCTTTTATTGTGAATTCAGGGAAGGTTTACAGAACAGATCATCCGTATCACAGTCAACAAATAATACACTCTGCTTCATTTCAATGATAGTATCCCCTTCATGTACCATTAGTTAACAGTATTTAATTCTATTCACTTTAACTTTTGTATTCCTCCCTGTGTCTTGCTACCTTCATCTTTCCCTTGGAGGGTTTCTAAGACTGTAAATCTTTACAGAAGCAGACTGCCTCAACTTTCTCTTCTGTCAGCTAGCAGTTAAGCTTGTGTCAACAGGGCTCCTTCCTAATTTTTAATAAACATTAATAAATCATTAACATTATTAAATTTACTTGAGATCCTTCTCAATCAAATTCTTGCCTCCACAGACGTAAATCCACAGAATCTCCATGCAGATTAATAGGCCCCTTAGCCGATCGATTGCCCATTCTCACCTGAATTTTACAGGTAGGAGAACCAAGGCTCAGAGAAGGAACAGCGGCAGCTATGGGACTAGAACCAGGGTTGAATAACTTCACATGGATATAGAATATAGTACAGTGGAAAAGCCACCAACGCCAGGGACTAAACAGATCACGTAACTGGGGAGAAGGCAGTAGAGGGTGGAGAGGTGGGAAGTAGAAGCTTTGGCCAACTGGATCTCTGTGCATGTTTAAGGAAGACATTCATATTCATACATTGAACAAGCACCAAATGGGCCAAACTAGAAATATCTGTGGGTCAGCACCAGCCAGAATACTACCAAGTTTAAACTCCTGAAAAACGAGGGAGGTAAATGAATAGCAGGATGTTCCATAGTCCTGGTTTCAAATCCTGGCACTGCCAGTTATTAGCTGTGGAAACCATGGGCAAATTCTTCACCATTTTTAAGGTTCAGTTTTCTCATCTGTAAAATGGAATTATAATTCTACTTCTCCAAACTGTTGGAAGTGTCAATAAGATAGGGGGGTAGAGCACTCAGCCTGGCATGGGGCTCAAGTAAGCAAGCACACAGCATGACATGTTACGGAAATAATTGGTCTAGCTATGTAAAGCCCTTCCCTCTTTGTGATTTTCTTTGAAAATTGCAGCAGTCCTGAGAGATTCATAACAGCAAGACCACTATTCCATTTTTCAATAAAGCTGAGGCCAAGAGAGGAGCAATGACTTGGCTCAAGTCACACAGCCATTCAGTGATAGCATTCGTGTAAGTGTGTCTCCAGGTAATAGAGCCTGTCCTCTTGGACTCCCAGGGGAGCCTTTTCTTGGAGTTGCTGTTTCCTCTACCCAGGGCTAGTCATACCCTTGTCCCCTGTTCACACCCAGCATCACTCACATAAGTCTGTAGCAGTGTCGATGTGTTCTTCTGCATGTAGAGGGCCAGACTATAGGCTTGTCTGATGGGTTCAGCTGGGGAGATAGGAGCTGCTGGGCTGCGGGTGAGCATCTGTAGGGTCAGCAGGTAAAGGAGAACTGGCAGAGGAAACCAGAGGTCAGCACCAAGTTCTTGCTCCTTCCTGTCCATTCATTGTAGCAATTCTTCAAATAGGTACATCCATTTGGTCTACAATGAACTTGTATGTCCAAGTCAGGGCAGAATTATCCAATTGGTGGGCTAGTCTAGACCAGAATGCTCCCCTGAACACCAGATCCATATATTCAGCTTCCTACTTGACACTTTCACTTGGGTATTAACAAACATCTCAAACTCAACATATCCAATACTTGACTCTGGATTTTCTAATCTCTAACTCACTCCTCTCGCAATCTTCCCCATCTTAGACAAGAGCAATTGCATTAAGATTCTATAGACAAAATATTGGCCAAAACTGGAAACATCAAAAGAAGATGGAATGGATTCATGGAGTCACGGCACCAAAAAGAATTGGTCAACATTCAGCCATTTCAGGAGGTGGCATATGACCAAAAACTGATTGGTGTTGAAGAAGGAAGTCCAACCTTCACTGAAGGCATAGCATTGATGAAATACCAATTGAAATGTTTTTACAAACTGATGCAGCACTGGAAATGCTCAATTATCTATGCTAAGAAATTTAGAAGACAGCTACCTAGCCAGCCGACTGGAAGATTTCCACATTTGTGCTCATTCCAAAGAACAGTGTTCTAACAGAATGCAGAAATGATTGAACAATTACATTAATATGACACACAAAGAAAAATTTTGCCAAAGATAAAAATTTTTAAATGCTTGCAGTAGTATATTGACAAAGAACTGCCAGAAATTCAAGCTAAATTCAGAGAAGGATCTGAAACAGGGGATATCACTGCTGAAAACAGATGGCTCTTGGCTGAAAGTAAAGAATACCAAAAAGATGTGTATTGTACGCCATCAAGTCAGCTCGGATTCTTAGGAACCCTGAGTAGGGTTTCTGAGGCTGTAAATCTCTAAGGGAGCAGAAAGCTTCATCTTTCTCCTGCAGAATGACTGGTAGACTTGAACTACAGACACTGAGATTAACAGCTCAATGCATAAGCCATTACACCATCAGGACTCCAGAGAAAGATATTTACTTGTGTTTTATAGACTATTCAAAGGCATTTGGCTATGTGCATCATAACATATTTTGGATGATATTCCAAAGAATGGAAATTCCAGAACACTTAATCATGCTCATGCAGAACCTAAACATAGGTGAAAAGACAGTTGTTTAAACAGAACAAAGGGACACGCCTGGCTTAAAATCAAGAAAGGTATGTGTCATGGTTGTATACCTTCAGCATACCTACTCAATCTGTATGCTGAGCAAATAATCCAAGGTGCCAAGCTATATTGGGAAAAATGTAGCATCAGGTTTAGAGGAAGGCTCATTAACAATCTGCAAAATACAGATGACACAAGCTTGCTTGCTAGAAGCAAAGAAGACTTAAAATGCTAATTGACGAAGATCAAAAACTACAGTCTTCAGTATGGATTGCACCTCAATGTAAAGAAAACAAAAATCCTCACACATAGACCAATTAAATAACATCGTAATAAATGGATAACATATTGAAATTGTCAAGGATTTCATTTTAATCAGATGCACAACCATTGCCCATGGAAGCAGCAATCAAGAAATCAAACCACGTTGGGCAAATTTGATGCAAAAGATTGCTCTTACGGTGTTAAAAGCAAAGATGTCATTTTGAAGACAAAAGTGTGCCCGATACAAGTCATGATATTTTCATTCACCTCACAGCCATGATCCATCTGATGTCAGTAACGATATCTCTAGATCCATGACATTTTCTGAATCCAGCTTGAATTTCTGGCAGCTCCCTGTCAATGTACTCCTGCAATCATTTTTCAATTATTTTCAGCAAAATTTTACTTGCATGTGATAGTAATTACATTGTTCAATGATTTCCACATTCTGTTGGGTCACCTGTTTTTGAAATGGACATAAATATGGATCTCTTCCAATCAGTTTGTCTTCCAAATGTCTTCTTATAGATGAGTGAGTTTCTCTGGTGCTGCATGAATTTGTTGAAAGATTTCAATTTGTATTCCATCAATTCTGGAAGCCTTGTTTTTTGTCAATACCTTCAGTGCAGCTTGGATTTCTCCCTTCAGGACCATCGGTTCTTGATCATATACTATTTCTTTAAATGGTTGAACATTCATCATTTCTTTTTGGTATTAGTGACTGTGTATTCTTTCCATCTTCTTTTGAGGTTTTCTGCGCCATTCAGTATTTAGCCCATAGATTTCTTCAGTATTGCAACCCCAGGCTTGAGTTTTTTCTTCAGTTCCCTCAGCTTGAGAATTGTTGAGTGTGTTCTTCTCTTTTGGTTTTCTAACTCCAGGCCTTTGCACATTTCATTACAATACTTTACTTTGTCTTCTAGAGCTGTCCTTTGAAATTTTCTATTCAGCTCTTTAACTTACTCATTTCTTCCAGTGGCTCTAGCTTCTCTATGCTCCAGAGCAAATTCAGAGCCTCTTCTGATATACATTTTTGTCTTTTCTTTCTTTCCTGTCTTATCAATGACCTTTTGCTTTCTTCCTGTATGATGTTCTTTTTTTTTTTTTT